AGGAAAGGAAAGAAAGAAAAAAAAGTGGGGGATTTCTCTTTCTTACCCTACATTTCGGGCGGGCGGGTATAGGGAAGAGGATGCCGGTCCTTGTCACCTACCCCCTCCCCTTCCCTTGTATACTTCTACCGTTTCCGCCTCTCTCCCCCTTGTAGCTAATCCTGCATACAACATACATACATACATACATACATATAGTGACCAGTTATTTTTCTCCCCCTCCCCTTTGCATGTCTCCACCCTTTGCTTCCCTCAATAAATACCCGTGGTTTCGATCGCAATCGGCCGCGCCCCGCCCCACAACGCATCGTATGTCTGCATTTGTCTCCAATCGGAAAGATGGCAGGGCGTATGATGCGTGTGTGTGTGCGAATCGGGGGGTCATAGAAAGAAAGGGTATGCGGAAAGTACCTTATTTAGACCGCTTTGGATTGCGACTGCAGAATGGGGGGTTTCATGTGCTACATGGGGGTAGAGAGACCAGACGATGAGGAGGTGAAGGATTCTTAGTCTGCGCTGTGTGTCGCTGCATCGAACGTTCGATTCGGAATGTGGGGGTTCTTTTTTGTCGTTTTTGTCGTGGGGTTTGGGGGCGGGATTTTTTTGGATCAGAGAAGGGTTCCTTGTTTGCTGTGAAGAAGGGGATTGCGTGGGTGCATCGACTGATTCTTTTTTTTTCTCGGGTTGTTTTTTTCATGTTCCCTGCGTAGAATGTTACTTCGAAATGAGAATCCGGGGAATGGGAGGGGTTTGGCGTTGGATTGCGGGTTTTGTAATGGCTGCTTTTTGGAGGGTTTGGGGGGAATTGAGGCTGTTATGGCGTTTGAGGATTGACGGGGAGCGGGCGGATGTATGTATATTGTAAACGGGAAATTTAGAGAATATCGTCGATACGATGAAGGTGGCTTGTTGTTGAGGTGAGGTGAGGGGTTTCGAGGAATGTGCCTCGGGTGATTGAAAGCTGAATATGTTGGTCTCGTCTGTATGTAGATGGGTATACGTGATTCAGAGTGCTGCTAGGTTCCTTTGTAATTCAGAAATCATCCATGTAGAACATGCGACGTTTAGTTGTCCAAGTAGTTTTTCAGTGATACGTTCTTATTCCAACATATCACTTCACTGCGTTTTCTAACCATGCATACAGTGCTACCGTACAAGTTGTACCCTGCCTTCAATGAGCTCTCTCTGATGACTTGTTACTTGACTTGGTTTTAAATGTTTGCTGTATAGCGTATTAGATTAATCATCTCAGAAAAGAATAGCAGGCCACATCCCAACCTGCCAGAATCGAGTATCAAAAAATTACTTTGCAGTCAAAGTAAAAGAATTCCAATGAGAAGCCTGAAAAGAAACCTCGGAGCTTCGGCTCAGAGATTTACATCAACAATATCCTGCCTTTGAACAGAGCCCACTCATATTCCGCAATTTTCGTGACATCAAAATTCCAAAGCACAAAAGTACTATTTTGAATTGCGATCATCTTGATTCCATTACGCTGATCCCTAACATTGAGCAATATCACTGAAAATTCATAATTGACATGTTGGGAATCTCCATTCTAGACTTAGCACCGAGAATATCTCATGTTTCGATATAGTTAACTACATATAATCATAATATACTCTAATCACTTCACTTCGTAATCACATCGAATTTTCATGAGCTACTGGAAACAAATATCTCGGTCCACACGAAATCCAAAAAGATAAACACCGATCTTACAAATCTAGCTTCACAGTTCCAAGCAACGACTTAAATAATTTGCGTAATTCCCCTTTTATCGTATTGCGTAAAACTTATAGGACTTGTCTTTTTTTTCTCGGAAAACAATTTCATATATTAGACGCCAAACATAAACAACAGTTGAAGTTGCAATATATTGTGTGATAAAAGGATCTATAAAAATTATTCCCAGTGATGCTAGTCAAGATTAATTGTGTATCAAATCAGGCCAACATGTACAACAAAGCAGTTCTGATAGACAGATAACTGCCTTATAGGCTAGCTTTCTTAATGACATGGCCTGAAACAAAGAGAGTGCAGAGAAAGTAGGGTTAGTAAAAAAAATTCAATCATGAGCAATTGTGTATATTGACTGATACGGGCCATCTCAAGCAACCAAATACACGGCTGGCCCGGAAATTGGTTTTGCAGTAGTCAATCAAGGAGAAAAAATTCCAAGAAAGCTTCTTCCGCACTCAAACTTAAAAACCCTTTCCACGGTGTCGAAAAATCGGCTTGCGCGGTACACACAAATAATATACACGGAAGCGTAGACACGCATGGCGGATATACCAATGTAGGCAGAACAACTCTTTTCCCAACATGAAATCCTCATTCACTAAGCCAAAAACGATCATTACCTATATCCGTACCAAAAAAAAAGACGGCAATGTCCAATCCGTCGAGCCGATTTCCCTATTAAGGTAAGTAAATCGACCGCTACCCCCCCGGACCCCAACGTCCAACGTAAGCCTTAAAATCGTGGATAACCCGTTATCATATATCCGATGGGAGGGGCTATGTGCATGGGAAAAAAAATAAGGTTTTCGGTTAAAAAAACCGAACAATCCACACAGAACGTGGTTTTCCATGCAAGCAATTGGAATCTTCCCCGTTCCGTGAGATGAGAAAATTAAAGTTTAGAACACGAAAGGGGGGGAAGGGGGTCCCGACGTAAGCGCTGGTTTTTTGCCCTGACAAGGGGGGAATTTACTTAGCGGGTATGTCATGCAGTTTGGTTTATTCCTGCTAGCTAATCAAGCGGGGTTTTGGATAAAACTTATGTTTGGAAATATTGTAAATTCAGCAAAAGACAGGAAAGTCACTCCAAAGAACACATACACACACAACACACACACACACAATCAATGTTATACAACAATTGCTTGCTATGAATCTACGTAATCTAATCTTCTCTATCCTGCTCCCCCCCCCCCCAAAAAAAAACACAACGTTACTATTGCTAGTATATGCCTCTGTCTCTCTCTCATCAAAACACCAAAACACCCCAGAAAGTATCAAAAAAGATAGCCTCCCAAAAGAGACCAGCTCTTGGAGAAAAACAAAAAAAAGACGAAGCCGCCCCCCCCCCCCTTCTATCAAGTCATAAGCCATATACACACACACAAAACTCTTGTACAAACCACATATAGTAGACACACAAACCACACATATACCTCACCCAAAAGGCTCTTCGTTCGAGCAAAAACTTTTTCAGCTGTCGACGGCCATACCAGCATTACCGCATTCAGGCCCCCACATATCTCCGACTCTGAAGCCTAGGGGAAACGGATCCTCCTCATCCACGACGACCTGTCTGTAACCCGAGATCCAGGCGCGGCCCCTGACGCGGGGTAAGATAGCGTCGTAGCGGCCAACCTTTGTGGTACCGACGATGCTGCACTGGAACTTAGTGCCGATGATACTCTTGTGGGTAAAAGTTTCGCCCACGGCCAATTGACCGCGTGCATGCAAGACGGCCATGCGCGCCGAGGTACCGGTGCCGCAAGGGCTGCGATCGAGGCGGCCAGGCGACACGACGACCGTGTTTGTGGCGGTCTTGACTTTGGCGGGGAGCTCGTCGGGCGAGGGTGATGATGATGATGATGAAACAAGCTCGACATGGACAGGCTCTGTAAACTGCATCGTTGATACGCCGCGGATCCCGTTGTTGAGCGGATGCACCGGCTCGTAAATGTCTTGCACGCTCTTGCGGATGGCCTCGCCAATGCGAATTAGATCCGCCCCGTGCTGGTGCGAGATGCTCAGGCCGACGGCGTCGGCGGATACAATGGCGTAGTGCATGCCGCCCCAGGCTACGTCGACGGAGATTTCGCCTATGCCGGGTACGCAGACGGGCACGTCGAGTTCGTAGACAAATGAAGGGACGTTATCGAATTCCACGCTGAGGCACTTGCCGCCGGCGCAGCGGGCGCGGACGCGCACAAGCCCCGCTGCTGTGTCGAGTACGACTTTGGTCTCTGGCTCCTTCATAGCGATACGGCCAGTCTCGAGTAGTACCGTCGTGACACAGATTGTGTTGCTGCCGCTCATGGTTGCGTATTCATCGCTCTCGAGGGTGAGGAAGCCTGCGTCGGCTTCTGGGTGGCACGGTGTGAGCAGCAGGTTCATACATTGCGAGACGCGCCCTCGCGGCTCTTGCATGAGTAGTTGTCGATAATGGTCGGCTTTCGACTCAAAGTGCACCAGCTTTTCGTACATGGTGTTGCAGTGCATTGGGTCTGGTATTCCGCTGATAATAACGTCGCCGATTTCGCCCTCGGCGTGCACGCACACTATCGAAATAGGGAGGTCGGGTGTGGTCAACATCGTGGGTGGTAGGGCGTATGTGTGTGTATCTGTATGTGTGTGTGGCGACTATGTGGAATATGGTGGTTATGTATTTAAATAGGTATGTGGTGTTGGTGGATGATCAGCCTTATATGTAATTGTGGAAAGTAGAGCGCCAAATGAGGCAATTTAAGAGCGGTCAAGACACTATAGGCCACGAGACTTGCCGATGAGGTGAGATTCTAACTTTTTTCCAGAATGTTGCATTCCGACGATCATCTAAATCCGGATTCCGAAACTACTCGGTGTGACTTAATCCTATCCCAATCAGTCCCTGCCACATCATTCAAGGGGAAACTACTATGCGGTGTGTTTATACTATTAGGAAAGTTGCGCATCGGCCAAGATCAGCAGACGCGTATCTTTCCTCCAATCCCCAAGGCGGGCCGGAGTAGGGCCATTTCCCACGTTGCCTGAAAAAATGGTCCGAGCCGGTTTCAGGTCATCGTCGTCCAGTCAAAAGTGTGTTCGAGTCGTGGGCGGTCAATTAGGTGCTAATCTCATTACAATTATTTGGTCTTGACAAGACAATCTTTGCCGATTCCCCACCATATTACAAGTCAATCCCGCTACCCCGAGCGAGACCGTTATACCCAAAATTTCCGATGTAACAGCGAGGGCGAAGAATGCTAATGTACAAGCGAAAAAAATGCCCCCAGTGCATCGCCGATGACGTAGTGGCCTGAATCGCCTACTAGACCTTGGCACCCCCCATAATCTCATTCGTAACGACATTTCTAAATTCTTTGCCAACGTGCCAATTGTCTTCTCTCCATCTTTGCGGCTAGCGAACTTTTTTGGGCTCGTCGGATGAATACGTGCGGTCGTCGCTGCCACCCTCGACTTCCAGGACCATCTTGTCGACAGCTTCGGCCTGCTTCTTCCACTCGCTCTGGCACATTTTGAGTTCTTTCTGGAAGAGCTCGTCGTTGGGCTTCCTGTAGCTTCCACCCAGACGATCCCAGAGAGTGGTAAACTGTCCGTAGTTGTAGTTGAAGTACAGGTGGTGCATGGTGTGACAGGCAGCTCCATTGATAATGGCCGAGTTGTGCGCATACTCGCCGTCATGAATCAAGACAGTCCAGATGTTGACGGTAACAAATAGGAGGACATAGGCAAACTTGGACAGCGGGAACAGGAATGGGAAGATGTGGTAGGGCAGACCCTGGGCATAGCCGTCCAATGGGTGGAAAGCGTGCGAGGCATAGGGAGTTGGCATGATCCACTTGTGGTGTGGCTTGTGGATGTGCTTGTAAATGAGAGGGTGGTGGAGATAGCGGTGAATCCAGTAGATAAGCGAGTCGGTGAAGAAGAGGAAAAATGGAAATTGCAAGTAGTTGTACCACAATCCCGGACCCTGGTCGACCGTATCGTATAGCTTCGAGTACCCACGGACCTCTGCAAGGAAAAAGGGCACGGTGAAGATTGCCATGATGGGAAAGGCAATGTTGGCCTGTTTCATCTCAAGCTTAATCTGGTTCTTAAGGTATCGCGGGTGGTTGAAGGTGCTCTTGTCGAAGATGAAGAAGTAGGAGGCGCTTGCGAAGATGTAGTAGACTAGGACACCGAAGAGCCTGTAAGATTGGAGTGTGAGCAAGGGTATGTACATGTTGATACTGGGATATATGGGTGAGGTAGAGAGAGAAAAAAACATACCATGTAATTAGGTACAAGGACAGCGCCTGCCGCCGCCAGTCGTCGCGGGCCCATTGACTCATGTAGGCATACTTGGATGGCGTCGTGGAGAAGAACTGGGTGGCGGGCTCATACTGCCAAGTCGCGTGCGGGCGGGCGTAGGCAGTAGGCTCCTCACGAATGCTGGAGAGAGTTGCATTGGCGATTACGGCAGCTGGATAGGCAGGTAGAAGTTTGGCATAGAGGGGGTCGAAGATGAAGGTGTCTGCCACCTCGAGGACAACGTCCATGGCTGATGTAGGTGTGACGTGGGCAGTCCCTTAGTGGGAGGATAGTCAGGTACCGGAGAAGTGCGATTCGCCGTTGGGTCTAATGGAAGCGGGCTGCGCACGACGAAAAACAAGGGATCAAAGTTGGTTGAAAGCAGGCCAGATATCGGGATGACAAGAACAGGACAAAAAAAGCAATGGGGGAAGAGGGTAGAAAAGGCAAATGTACGCGCAGGATGGCCGATTCCAAGGCTGCGCGGGCGTAGCAATAATAAACGGGTCGCAGCGACGACTTTTTCGGCTCAAGGCAAAGCGGCCCTGGGCTGCCAGGGTTCCATCTTGACTGCTTGCAAATCACACAACCGCCCACTAGGCCTGCCAATCAGGGCTGCCAGCTGCCTCTTTAGAGTGCTCTCACGTGATCTCGCATCACAATCTCGCAGGGCGGAAATGAAACATCCGTTGAAGCCGAGAATGGGCTGACCAGGGGCAGCGCGGCATTGCCCTTATCAGATCTTCTCATCCGATCCTCGGAGCATGCTCGGATGCCTCAACGCCCGCCGACACGCCACCATGGCGCTCAAAACTTATAAACAACACGCGTGCCGCCGTCTAGACCGCCGTGGCTGGTGGGCGGTCGTCATCGGCGAGAAACAATCATTCAGCAGAGCACATTGTATGATGCGTGCATAATTCAATACTTGCACTGTAGGTGTAGAATACATTTCTTTGCGCGAACACATTGGGTCAACGCAATGGACCCGCTATGCACATCTATCTACTTCGCCACAATGCTCACTACATCCTCATCAGCCACAACGTGGCCCAAGCCCACCTTTTGTGGCACATGTCGGGCGCTCGCTCCCCACACCAATGCGTGCTTGAACGTCTCCTTGAGCGTCCGGTGCACCTGGTCGCAAACATCCTCAATTGTGCTTCCTTGGCGCACAATCAATGCCTCTGAGAAATCCGGCTCGCATCCCTTTCTCTTGGTGTAGATTCGGATCAGCCTCAACTCTTCCCAACACCTATCCACCACGTCTTGAATGCCCAGGTCCAGTTCGCAGCTCATGACTACCGTGTTTGGCTCGCGTGCTAGTTCGTCCAAGTGCGGCAGGCCAATGCTGTCAATCTTGTTGTACACATACAAACACTTGATATACTTGCGATGGTCCTTCATGATTGTGTCGATGAAGTCATCGACAGTGACATTCTCGTCGCGCACTAGGACTTCGCAGTTGAGCATCTTGTAGTCCTTGAGAATGTTGTACACCATCTTCTCGTCGATATACTTTGGCGGAACCTGGAAACTAATCTTCATACCACCAGCCTTTTTAGGCTTGAGGTAAATGTTGCTGCCATGTCGTTAGCTTTCTTCACACCGCGCCTTCATAACCCAAACTTACGGTGGCGATCGGTTCAACCGGATCCCTACGGCCTCCAATTCGGCCTCGAGCAACCGCCTCTGCTCCGCCTTCTTGGTAGCATCAAGAACCATGCAGATTAGGTCACTCGTCTTAGCCGCACTAATGACCTGTCTTCCGCGCCCCTTTCCTTCGGCAGCGCCCTCAATGATACCCGGCAGATCCAGGACCTGGATTTCCGCACCACCATACTCGAGCACACCAGGAATGGCCGTGAGCGTAGTGAAAGCGTAAGACGCAGCTTCAGACTTGGTCTTTGTGATTCTCGACAGAAACGTCGACTTTCCCACCGACGGGAATCCAACAAGGGCTATACGCGCATCACCTGATTTCGACACATCGAAACCACTTCCGCCGCCACTACCTGCGCCCGCTGCGGGCTCCAGCAGTTGTGCGCGGAGACGAGCGAGTTTTCTATACAAAAACTGTTAATAAATCCCATCTTCTTGTCTGTGAATTTCGCTGGTGCCTTGCCCTTTGAGTAGACCAAGATGATATTCTGTGCGTCCATGTCAGCACGTGACACTGAATTGTACGCGGGTGTGAAAACATGCATAACGAGGGGCAATCGCCATACCTGTAGCCTTATTTTCTATGCACACAAAAGTCAGCATTCAATTTCCTATTTCCGGTAGTGCGCATCGCAAAAAACTCACTCTGCGTCCTCCGCATCTCCTCCTCAATCCTGGTGGGGGGGAAAGCGTTAGCTCAAGAGCCACATCAAAAAAACTTGGAGGGGGTCTTGTCCCACTCTTTGATCTTCTCTGTAATGTTCACCATCTTGGCGACCTTTTCTCGGTTTGTGCGCTCAGGCTAGAGAGAGAAGGACTAGGGTGAGGGGGTAACTATGTCGCTGTACTTTTGTGTGGCGGCTGTAGTCCGGCAAAGTCACGATGGGAAAGGTTTGGTGTTGCAGCCAGCGCTCATGCCGCGAGCCATGGCTTGTTTAGGTTTAGCGCAAATCTTTTCTCTCCAGCAACTGCAAGATGCAGTGCGTCATGTACAAAGGGTGCAACCAGCAAATGAGCAAAAATACGCCAAATACGGTGCAGAAGGGCTAGTACCAATAGCTAGGCTCATAGTTCGCCACGTTTTTTTTCATTCCTCTACCAACTGGACCCTTTGCAGACTGGAAAACAGCAGTCTACATTCGCCACGCTTATTTCGTCAGCATCCGCTGAATCCACAGCATTGTATTCTTGTTTTTTTCTCTTCTCTTTCTCAACGCTTCAGCTTACTGTTATCGTTTCTTCCATTTCAAAGATGCCATTCGGGCCTCCCGGTTCGTGGCCCGACTCATACCACAATGTAATAAAGTACCACTACGCGCAGTACGACAAGGCCATTGCATCTGGAGAATATCAACCAGTCGTGTTTCCATGGGCATGTATCGACATGCTACTGGTCACCATCTACCTTTTGATTCCGCATCAGAACCGGCCGTGGTTGAAGAGATGCCGGTTCTTGGCGTTCGCATGGATGCTCGTGTGTGCAGTGTACAAGATCAGATACACGATGATGAGAGGGCTGGCACCAGCACTGATTAACGGATTGATCAACTCGTGGATGACGATATGGGTATTCGCGATACTCGTATGCAACGATGCCCAGACAGACTTTATGAGGATCGAGAGAACCAGGGGTGTCTTTGGATCGAGCAAACGTAGTCATGTCAATGGATCTTCTGAAGCAAAAGAGACAGACGATCACAAGACGGCCCGAGACGACGTCGTCAACAGCTCAACCGGCCCAAAGGATCGTCACGGCGAATTCGCGTGGCAGCCCTTCCCCCTCAGCCCGATGCTGGAGCGACTAGACTGGGTCAATGACATCCTGTACAACTTTCGCGGCATGGGCTGGAACTGGCGCATCTCGGCCGTGCCTCCACCCCCAAAAGCGATTCAGACCCAGCTTCACCGCAACTCAGGCGACATTGTGCCCAAGCACTCGTTCAAGACGCACGCGGGCCAGGTGAAGCAGTACGCGACACGCGGAGAGCTCCTTCGCAGCAACTTCCGCACACTGGCAACGGGCTACCTAGCCCTTGACATCATCAAAACGACTATGATGCACGACCGTTACTTTTGGGGCTACATCGATGACGACCCGCCATCCTACTTGCCCTCATTAATCACCAGCTCGCCACACATGACTCACGCATACCGCATGTTGCTCTCAATGCTCGGCATCAAATTCGCCCTGCAATGCGTCTTCGCTCTTGCGCCCCTCTTCTTCAGCGGCGTCCTGTCACCCTCGCTACTCGGCGCTCGCGCGGAACCATGGATGTACCCGGATACATGGGCGCCTTACAGTGTCGTGCTTGACCACGGCATCGCCGGCTGGTGGGGCAACTGGTGGCATCAGACGTTCCGCTTTGCGTTTCAAGAGCCCAGCCGCAAGCTATGTGAAGTGCTGCGGTTGGATAGGAAGACTAAGGCGGCCAAGCTGCTGCAGTTGCTGATTGCGTTCTTCCTAAGTGGCGTCGTGCATGCGAGTGGGAGTGTGACTTGTGCGGGCGACACGCAGCCTCTACAGGGTCCCATGGCGTTCTTCTTGCTCCAGGCTGGTGCTATCTTTGTAGAAACTTGGCTCACGCAGCTTGCGCGTGCGGCAGGCATAGGACAGGGGTTACCTGGGTGGCTGAATAAAACTTGGACGTTCGTATATGTCCATGTATGGTTCTACCATACTGCTCATCTGCTGTGCAATGACTTTGCAAGAGGCGGCATATGGCTCTTTGAGCCTGTGCCAGTTTCGATTCTCCGCGGCGTGGGTCTGGGTCCTGACAAGCACGATGGATGGTGGTGCTGGAGTGGCCAGGTAATTCGTTGGCATGCTGGGGAGACGTGGTGGAGGAGCGGTCTGACTTTGTGAGTTTGGCTTGTCAGGGTGTTCCTGGATAAGACGGAATGAGCAGTTGAGTCCACTCTTCCATCCTCTTCATCTCTCTCCTATAGACAGTACCTTTGGCTAGACGTAATACTTTTGTCAAGTCATTCTCGCATCATGACTCTGTCTCTCTGGAAGTAAACAAGCGTCTAGAGCACAGCCCTTTCAAACAACCCAATTAGTCAGCACAACATAGTACTGTAACCCAAATAATCCGTCTAGGGACCGGAAAGGGTTCAAAAAGGGGCGGTAAGCGTAAAAAGATGATAAGGCTAAAGTATGTGTACCAAGACGGACAACGGTAATGCCACTAGTCTGAAGCACTAGCCTCAGACGCAAGCCTGAGGCGAAGAATTCGGCGCTTCCCCCCACCACCGAGTCATTCTGTTTCGAATGTTGGAAAAGAAATAAGGAAAAAGGGACGAGTGTGGATAGTGGGTTACGTTTAGCTTGGTGGGTAGTGAGCGACATGTTACACTGAGAAAAACCAAGTTTTACACGTGAAGATATTTGAAATAGAGAAATAATCATCGGGATTTTAGTGGGATGTAGGCGGGAAGGTATGAGGACATGGAGCTGACAAAGCAAATAAGACCAACAATACAGTCATGCGGCGCATTGTATACATGCAAGCCATGCCTCCTTAATTAAAAGGGCATGTAGAAATGAATTATGTCCCGGATACATGACTTGGAATGGATGCCAATG